GTAATTCTAGTCGTGGTATGGATTGTTTTTTTATCGGAGCCACTCTCGTTTTGGAGGCCACAAGATTTACTTCAATCTCTCCGTTATGATGAACTGTTCGCAAATACACTACGGCTGCGTAGGCCTTCGATGAGGCGTCACTAAACCCGTGAAGCTGGTGACCTGTCGGTTTCTCTTTGGTTCTTCGGATGTAACATCGAGGTATTCGAATGTCGTTCAATGCTGAGAGGTCTACGATAAATCTTTTCCATGCCGCTAACTCTTCTCCGTCTAACACGTCATCCCAATTAACGCCATGAACACACAGAGTTTGGAACAAAACTTTCATACAGATCGTAAATGGGGTAAGGAATCCAAGTGGATCAAACACTTTAGCCGCGAGTCGTAGCACTGATCGCTTCGTAGGATTAAGTGTTGCCGCAAAGTTCACCAATGCAGTTAGGTCATAGTGAATTTCATCAGTGTTGATATTCCAATTCAGTCCTAGAATTTTTATAGAACATTCTGGTTTGGGATCGTCATCAGCTTCGGATCGCGCGGACAAAATGTCGTCATTCGCTTCGTTTGAATCTCTTTCAGTTCGGTTTTCCTTTTCTGTCGAGTTGGTAAACACGTCTTGCTTACTCCCGAGGGGTTTCACTTCAGTTAATACGGTTTCGTCGACTTTACTGCACTTCAGTTCGCCGGCGACTTTCGTCCGAAGAATTGTCGAGTTGGAATTCCATTTTCGCAATTTAAATCCGCCAGAGTTCATGATGTCGTTTGCTTTTTCGTAAATTTCTAAAACCTGGTCATCTTCCATCGCACCTCCAACCAAATCATCCACGTAGAACGACTCTTGCAACAATGCAACGACTTCGGGCTCTTTCGTTTTGTGCGATTCCAAATGACGTTGTATAACCGAATTTAAAATAGCTGGGCTTGGGGTCAACCCAAATACTAGGCGACAAAACTGATATTCAACAATGTCTGGATGTTCCTTGCGTATATCGTCGAACCACAAGAAGCGCAACATTCGCCGGTCATCTGGATTTATCTCAATCTGGTGGAACGCCTTTTCCACATCGGCCACGATTCCTACAGGGTAACCCCTGAACTTTACAACGACGTCAAATAGGTGGGGAACTAAGTTCGGTCCCTTTTCCAGGCAGTCGTTGAGGGACAAATTCGATGAACCGTGCTTCGCTGACCCGTCGAAAACTACTCGAACCTTCGTAGTCGCCTTATCTTCTCGAATCACGCCGTGATGAGGTAGAAAATGCGTTGCTTCATCGCTTGCCGAACATCCAGGGACTTTCTCGATTATACTTGACTTTATTTGCTCTTGTATGACTTCATCGTACTGTTCAAGCAGCTCTTGATCAGTTCTCAAGCGTGAATGCAGTTGTCGTAGTCGTTTCAAACATGGAAAATATCCATTTGTTGTGGGCATACGATCATCCTTCCAGGGAAGGCTCATTTGATATCGACCCTGGTTCTTGTCGAAATTTGAATCTCTCAAAAACTCCTTTTCCAGCGACGGGTTTGGCTCGAAGATGCCAAGCGATTCTGTGTCCCAAAACCTTTGAACAGCGCGGATCAAACCTTCGTCTCCAACACTTTCCACTGGATCGAACATCAGCGCAGAATCCGTTTTCTGAACAATGAGTTGCGTGATAGTTGCATTCTTTCCAGGTGTGGATCAATTAAGTCTCGAATGGTTTCAGTCTTATTTGACCGGTCGATCTCAGAAATGTAATGTTAGAGGTTGCTTGTCATCATCTGCATCAGTTACACGTGGTGTACCACAGGGAAGTAACTTAGGACCATTACTCTTCCTTGTGTATATTAACGATCTTCCTAATTGTCTCAGTGCAGCAGTACCGAGAATGTTTGCTGATGATACGAACATTAGTTATGCGGCCAACACTATCGCCGAACTAGAAAATGTTATTAATTCGGAATTAAAAAAATTGAAAAGCTGGTAGGAAGCGAACAAATTAAGCCTTAATATCGCCAAGACAGAATTTATGATAATAGGATCTCGACAACGTATGCATGCGCACACTAACGAAAATATCAATATTGACCTGGATGGTCATGTGATTAAACAAGTTGATGAGGCAAAATCACTAGGTGTAATTATTGATAAAAATCTGTCTTGGTCTAAACACATTGATATGAAGTGTAAAAAGATTTCTTCCGCTATAGGTGCTCTTAAGCGAGTAAAACCATTTATATCAACTGAAACAGCAATCCAAATTTACAACGCTATAATTCAACCTCACTTTGATTACTGTAGTCCCATTTGGGACGAATTTGGCGCAACATTATGTGAAAAAATGCAAAAATTGCAGAATAGAGCTGCTAGAGTGATTACGAAATCCAACTACGATGTCAGCTCTGGCATTCTCTTAGAGAAACTGCATTGGGACAATCTTTCCTTACGTAGGAAAAAGCACAAGTCTATACTAATGTTTAAAACCATCAATAAGCTAACGCCAGAGTATTTACAAAACATGTTTACATTTCGCAGCACAGATTATAACTTAAGAAATGCAGAAATGAAGCTAAATTTACCAAAACCACGTACGGACTTTATGAAGCGTAGTTTCTGCTACAGTGGAGCAAAGTTTATGGAATGCGCTTCCTCAAACTGCACGTACGTCCAAATCATCGAGGCATTTCAAAAATGAAATTAATCAATTCTTGACATTATAATGGGATCCCCACACGGCAATCTTGGAAAACAGTGCATTTTAGTTAGGAAATTAGTGTGTATATAGTAATGTGTGAAATTTATTAATAGTTTTTGTATTTTATTCTACACTGAAGATTTTACCGTGTTTAAATAAATGTTCAATGTTCAATGTTCAATGTTCAATGTGTCTTTGCATAACCACTGCCGGAGACCATCCATCCGAATTCGCTATTAACTGCCACAGGGCCCCCGTCTCCCCGTTGTATCTCACCCGTAATTATGTCGAAATAGTAGTCGGAACCAATTAAGATGTCGATATTCTGTGCCGAATCACTGTCGTTAAGCAGACTTTCATCAGCCAGATCGAACCCTTGCAGGTGTGTATGTCGGTCAAGGTCAAGCGTTGTCAAAAGGGGCGAGCAAATCTTAGGATAACAGAGTGCTGCGATTTCAACGTCTTTCGATTTCCCTTGCAATTCTACACGAACTCGATCGCATCGTTGTTTAACAAATCTATCATCTCCGAATGTATTCAAGTTCAAAACTTCAGTTTTTTCCGAGCTAAGACCTAGCTTTTCCTTCAACGACTCTGTCACATACGATCGCTGGCTTCCGCTGTCCATCAAGACACGTACAGGAATTAAAGCATCTTCCACTTTCGAGTAAGCATACGCGGTCGCAGTTTGCAAGAAAACTTTACATTTCGATCGAGTTGCTGCAGTTGTCGAATTTTGACATGCAGTAATGGTTGCGCCTTTGCTTGCACTTGTTTCGGGCTGCTCTTCTTTAGTTGTCGATTTTGAATCACCGTCCTTATAATCCTTATCTTTTCCACCAGCGTTTGGGAATTTTGCCACAACCTTTTCGCAAATTGATTGGTGATGTCGCCCTTCGCATCGACGACACCTTTTCGACGGATGACATTGGTTGGCACGGTGACCGACTTGTAAGCACACGAAACAACGATTGTCTCGTCTCAAAATTTCCTTTCGCTCACTGGGTTTCACTTTCGATTCACACGAAGCTGAATAATGCAGATTCCCACAGTAGGCACATCTGATCGCACCATACGGTTTACTATCCCTCCCTTGAGCTGCTAGCGAAGTAGTCGTAGATGGAAAACGAGGTGGTGGTTTTACCTTCTTCTCGCTGTCGGCCCTTACATGATCACTTAATTCACGAGCTTCCACTTCCTTTCGTATTATCTCTAATAACTCCTTTATCTCCCATACCTCTTTATCCGATTTTCTAGCGATTTCAAGTCGAACGTCCCCAGGTATCTTGGACATAATAACTGGAATTAGTAAACTCCCGTACTGATCCGGTTTCACACCAAGAGCTTCTAATCCTCTAACGTTGACACTTACTTTGTCATATACAAACCGCAATTGCGATGATTTCTCCCCAACACATGGAGCTAACTTCAAAAGTTCGTCCATATGGGCTGCTATGATTTGTTGCGATTTCCCGAATCTCTCCTGTAATATATCAATAGCCGATTGGTAGTTATCCGCTGTAACTGCCAGTCCCTTTATTGCTCGAAGCGCATTTCCCTCTAATAATGACAAAAGATAGTTATACTTGTCAATGTTTGTTAAATACGAATTTCGGTGTACAGCGCTCTGGAAACTTTCCCAAAAAGTTCGATAGTTTGTAATATCTCCTTTGAATTTCGGTAGTACCAACTTGGGTAGCTTAATTGCAGGTGCGTAGTGCACTGTCGATCCGGGTTGTAACACAGATTGTACCGTTGATGCGTTGATGGTATTGGATGATGCTTCCACTTGGTTCGATTCATGATTGTTCGATGTTTCCACTTGGTTCGATTCATGACTGTTCGATGTTTCCACTTGTAGTTGCTCGTCGTTCGATTGACTTGTCCCCTCGTTGGAGACAACATCAGTGTTTATTTCGCTTGTTTTAGAAGTCGTTGGCCCAGGTTTATCGATTACCTTGCCCGTCGCACTCGTAAATTTCTCGATTCTACTACTTACGTCGCTTGCTCTCGCAAACATTTCTTCCGTTTCTTCGATTTCTCGTTCGATATCGTCGATTTCGCATAACTCTAGCACTTGAGCATCGAGCTCTTTAAGTCGTATTATTTTCTCGTTTAACAAATTCGCTATTGTTCGTAGTCGATCCTTATTCGTTTCACTCCCCTGATCTAACAGCTCGATCGCTTCTTTGCTGTATCTCGTAACAACTCCCCGATTTCCCGAGCGAATAGCTCGTATCCTTTTCAAATCTTTGTTCGGCTCGCTCATATTCTCGCGTAAACAACTCCGATATTTTCGATTTTAATTCGATCTTTCGTCAAAGCTAGCGCCCCACGTTGGGCGCCATGTAAACAACGTTCAATTTTACTATATATTTAATAACATTTAACCACATATCACAATAAAACAGCCGGTTCGGCACTGGCGCTAGCTTTGTTATATTTTCGCCATGTCTGCAGGCGTGAACTCTAAAAAGAAGGCGGGTTGTGGGCGTGCCACACTAGCTTCTGATTGGCGCGTTGTCTCTACGTCATTACTATCATTTATAATGTTAATATAAACCTGAACCGTTCGCTACACTATATCTTATAAACAGTCAAAAATATATAACTTGGCTGTGTATTAAAACAATTATCACATACCTCTGTATCGCGTCGTCGGGCAATCAGTCGTTCAGCCTGATATACCCCAAGGATTCTACCCTTTCTCTTTTTGCTTGATCTGGTTTTTCGTATAAAATATCAACAGAGCTTACATTGTTTAAAACATTGTAAAGCACACGATCAGATCTTCGCGCCATGTTGTGCTTTAATACCAAAGCTTGCCACTGATCTCATATTAGAAATGAATTATATTATTCAGCGAGTAACCGCTGATTGAGAACGCCGTCGCAAAATGTCCCAAATTTCTGGTGATGACTGTACAATCAATATACATCCTGCGTGATAACAATTAATGGACGTAGTTATAAAGTCACGACTGCTTCCGGATGGACATAATCAATAGGCAACCGTTAATTCGTAACTGATTAAGCTATTCTATATTAATTCATTAATTAAAGTTAAATCTTCGCAATTCCGTGCTTGAAATGAGGATTTACTATTTCATTCGCTTACTTTGTAGGAGATAAATCGGCTGCAAGAATAAAATGCTAGGTTGAAAGAAAAAATTAAAATGAGTGAGACAATGGTAAGTGTAACGTTTACTTCATATGTTTTGTGCATATATGTTTATTCCTTATCGTCCGGTATCCCTGAAAATAAAGCAATCTGATTGAATGGCATGCAAGCGATCACGTTTTTTTATTTCCGAATCGCTCAACCATGGATCGCTCCGGGCTTCGCGCATTAACCTCCAAAAAAGAAGTAAAAAAATACCATAATGATAGTCAGGAAAGGAAATTTGGCGGAATTCACATCTGTGGACTTCATGTTCAGTTTACAGCAGATTTAAGATTAGAAAGGTTCAGTTTTTACCTACCGTTTTCACTGAACCTTCAAATGCACTTAATCTACCGAATCTGTTTCTTTCCACATGTATATATGTTCTGAAATTTTCGACAGGCCGCAACCTTTTCCTTTTTTACATACAGTGTAAGCAATAATCGTAATAATATTTTCGTGATGTAATTTTGTAGGCAGCTGGCGTACTTGATGAGAAAAGTAGGTTAAAGCTGATCTGGCAAATGCGCAATCAGAACTGTTAACAATGTCGCAATCTGCGGACGGAGATGAATTCAAGGAACTGGAGAAGAGAATGGAATCTGTAAAACTAGAAATAGATATTCTTATGTATGACATTAGCGTGAGGGCATGCTCTTTCCACCAGATGTTGCTACATGGCTCTTAGGAATCGACAATCGAGGGATAGTGGTGGGATTTGTATTGCTTCCTGCACACAGTTTTGTTTAGCATATTGGCAGTAGCCGTTATATGTAACCGTTGATCTAAATAGAAGGCAGAATAAATCAACTTATGGCTTACTGAGATAGATAGAGAAACCGTGTAGTTGAAGATTTTTACACAGGAAAGATCTGACAAAACTAAGGAATCAAACAAAATGCGGAAACTTGCGTCTCCTTTAAACAAATTTGAAGATTTGAAAGTGTCATGAAGAAAACTATACAACGGTCGCCGCCAGTGTAACAGAGGCATAGATAGCTTAAGCTCTACTACGTCGACGACAGCTAGGACGTCGTGGCTAAGCAGAGGACTGGGACTAGGACGGCGTCCTAAATAAGTGGATAGCTCAAGTATCTACGACGTATCTCAAGTATCTATCAAATATTTAGGGCGGCAAGCGGAAGTAAATTGGTAAATAGTTTTTGAAGTGTGCATGTGTCTCTCTCAATTTCCTCGTCGTCCACCAAACGACGACAACCTCACAACAAGAGTTTTACCGTCTTGGATACAAGAGCATAACAAACTGTAATGGATTCACACGTCTCTTTTAAATTCATTTTCAATAGAATGTAAATATTTATAGTTTAAATGTCTACGTCCTGCATCTTAAGTGGAAGTTTATTTATTTAGGACGACGTCCTAGTTCCAGACCTCTGCTTAACCCTGACGTCCTAGCTGACGTCGACGTCGTAGATCTTAAGCTATCTAATTAACAATTAGACAACGAGGCCGAGTTGTCTAATTGTTTTAGTATAAACTTTAATATTAATTTACAACTAGGCTGCAAACACAATACAAAAATACACAAAAAACATTAAAAAACCATTAAAGGTAAACAAATATTTTAAAATGTTTTACAAAATTCAGTTTTAATTTTACAATTTCATTGAATCTATGTTATTTTGTCTATTTTCTTACCCTTAAAAATTGCCATTCCATATTTTTGTTGCTTTTTCGTTGTTTTTTTTTAGTACAGAATTATTCAACAAGTCGTCCAAAAAAATCATCAGACACTTCGGCAAAAGTGCAAAACGCGAATTTTCCGCCATTTTAAATTTTCTATTAGTCGGCTATCACTAATAGCCTACTAGTAGCGTAGCCAATCAGAAGCTACGATATGTGATAGCCTACTAGTAGGTTTATACTAATAACAGATAGCTGCGACGTAAAGGATGAACAGCTGGCTGAAAAATACAGGATGTATAAAAATAAAGTGCACAGATTTGAAATTGCTCTTAAATTTGCAAAACAGCTATTAGTATCCAGTTTTTTTATGTATATGGCTTCTTTGGGTACTTATTATGTACAAAAATGGAATCAATTTCTCGAACTCAAATTGTGAAAACCAGGGAGGGGGGTGTCTTTTCCAACAAACTAAAAATGGCTTGCGCACGAAATTTAAAAGCTTTAATCACATTTTGAGTTGATAGATGGAACATTTGTTGGGTTTTTAATTACTGTACAAAATTTCAGACAATTTCCTTAGTTTAAGCCCCTTTAAAGGGAAATGGCAATATATTTTTTTATTTTCTCATTTGAAAGAACTTTTGAAACTATTTAATAAAGCTTTTACCGATTCGTCATATCTTGCTTAGTTCTTGAAATATTTTCACTTGAAGTAATGACATGTCAGCCATCTTGGATACATTTTTTATGTCATTAACGGTAGTTTTGGTGACGTCACAACAGGGATTAACCATATAAAAGTATCCGTTGCTGACCAAATATTGATTGGTAGATGTTTTAAAGGTTTCAAGTGATCTTGATATTTCCAAGCGCATACAGAGTATAATTTTGAGTGCAAAATGATTAGTGGTTGTCTAGATAAAATATTGCATGACCCCTGTTGTGACGTAACATGCATATCGACAAAAATCCAAGATGGCGGACGTTTCATTTCTTTCGATTAAAATATATGTAGAAGGAAGCAAGATATGAAAAAACGGTAAAAGAGTTTTCTATACGATTTTAAATGTTCTTCCAAACGAGAAAATAAAAAAATATATTGCCATTTCCCTTTAACTATTCCTTTTTCTCTAAAAATTTAGACTTTCGCATGCTTAATTAATGCCTTTACCTAATTTGCATATTGCTGACATATGCAAATTAGGCAAAGGCATTGATTAGCATGCAAATGGTGATTTTTAAGAAAAAATGTAAGTTTGCGTAAATGGCTAAAGGGCGTAAACTGAAGCAAATTGTCTTAAAATATGATTAAAGCTTTTAAATTTCGTGCGCAAGCCATTTTTAGTTTGTTGGAAAAGACACCCCCCCTGGTTCACAAAATTTGAGTTCGAGATATATTTTCCATTTTTCTACATTATTAGTACCCAAAGAAGCTATATACATAGAAAACTGGATACTAATAGCTGTTTTGCGAATTTAAGAGCAAATTTCAAATCTATACACCCTGTATAAACAAAACTTTTACATGCGAGCTGGAGGAAGCAAAACCGCTATGAAAATCGATATTTTTAGTATGTTCACACCAGACCATTACGAAAATCACAAATCTGTCACTTTATTCACCTTTTCTTTTTTTACAGTGCGTTTGTGAACATGCATTGTTCCGAAGTCAAGATCACAGCTGAGACCGGTTTGAAATGTATTTGTGTTAACTTAACATCCATCCAACTCGGAATCCATCCCTGTTTGGTTCGGTCTAGCGAGCGGGATGACTTCAGATCGGTCTGCATGGGCAATTTCTCGCACCGGTCTAGTGTAAACATCTATTTTACGTAATACTCACACCAATCCGAAATCGTTGCGACTTGAATTTGTCCTGATCTCAAGTATACTGGGCCTAATTTGCCCGATCAACACTTCAAATTTGACAACGAAGGGTAATACAGTTCTGAAAGCCTTTAAAGTGCCTATATCACTTGTGGGACCTTGATGGATTTGAAAAGAGCGTAAAAAGTTAGCTAATAAGTTCAAAAGATTTTCTAGATTTAGTGTAATAATTTCGAAGATACAGGCCTCTAAACTATCTGCAGTTCCTGAGTCCCAGGCTCCTATGCACAATGGACAGTTTCGAAAAAGGCCAAATTCAATAGCCGTGAATAGACTCAAGGAGGCTGGGACTCATGAACCGCCCGTTGATTAAAGGCCTAATATCATCAAAACTATTGCACTAAATCAGAAAAATCTTTTGAACTTATTAACTAACTATTTAATCTCTTTTCAAAGCCACTAAAGTCCCACAAGTGATATAGGCACTAACGAGAGCTGAGTAACAGTGCAAACTCGCTTAGCTAATGGTTGGAGTGAGTTCTAATTTTCGTTCCATTTTTCTTCAGGCTAGTTTTAGTGGTGGTGATAACGCTTCAGAGATAACAGACCAACTTATTGATGCCAAGATAATAGCTGGAACTTTATAGTCCTAGCGCTTCTGCGTCAGGGTGTATCGATCGAAAAAAACGCAACCTCGGAATTTCCTAAGAAATCCACTTTGCGATTCTAAAGCATAAAATATTTTAGGCCCCTGGGAATTGAAATCGAATTGCTAATAGATCATATTACTCTTGATGCACAGGATGTCCCCCAAAAAGGTACCCTCTATAGAAAATATCATATTGTTATAATTTGAATGCCTGAGCACTATGCTGAACACAAAAGTGCGTAAACCCAATTGAATTGAATTTTTAATTACCAGGAGCATGTATGGGCGTACGGGACCAGTCTTATTTGGGGGGGGGGGGGGGCATTTTTTGCCCGAAAGGGCAAACTTAACATTTTACAGGTCACAAAAAATTTTGTCGGGACAGACCAAAAAAATGTTTTCGGAACATACCAAAACATTTTTTCGGGACATATCAAAAAACTATACCGGACATACCCAAAAACTTGCCAGTAAACATACGAAAATTTTCCCGGACATAAAAAAATTTCCCTAACATCACGTAATTTTCGCAACTATACAAAAATATTTTCACTGCATATCATATTTTTCTGAAATTTTAATGTTTTGCCCGAATGTCCCATTGATTTTTGCCCGACTCCACTGATTTTTGCCCGACACTTTTTGCACTCAAAATTATACTCTGCATGCGCTTGAAAATATCAAGATCACTTGATACCTTTAAAACATCTACCAATCAATATTTGATCAGTAACGAATACTTTTATATGGTTAATCCCTGTTGTGACGTCACCAAAACTACCGTTAATGAGATCAAAAATTTATCTAAGATGGCTGACATCTCATTATTTCAAGTGAAAATATTTCAAGAACTAAGCAAGAAATGAAGAATAAGTAAAAGAAGTTATAAATAGTTTCAAAAGTTATTCCAAATGAGAAAATAGAAAAATATATTGCCATTTCCCTTTGAATCTGACGTGTCTTCGCACAAAACATGATTGGAGTGATGAGACAAAGAGGAATGTTGGAATCAATTGCGGTGCTTGTATATGCAACTGTGATTCTTGTTCTATCCCGTAGTTGCAGGTTACTTCATGAATACTTTTCAGAAATCCTTTTGTATTTTATTTGAAAGACTAGGTACTTTAAATATTAAGTAAGACGATGACTATGAAGTACCAGTCAAGTACGGCTTTAAAAGTCTTAAATTAACTTATCTTGATTCCGAAAAAAGTTGAAAAAGATGAAATAACCTGGTATAACTACCGTTTTGATGCTTTGCGCCACGATAGAAAGATATTTACTCGCCAATTGACGTAATCTACTGTATTATACACATTCGTTTGTGATTTTGCGTGTATATAAATTAGCACGCGCCATTGGTTCGCGATTGGCTTTAAGTTATCAAGGTCAACCAAATGGCTTAATTGCATCTGTGTGTCTGTTCTCTAATACAGGAAAGCTTTCGACCAATGAAAAGGCGGAATAATCTCCAATTATTACTGGAATTAACAGTGTAACCTAATATACATAACTGGACAAAAAATGTTTGTTCTCAAACAAATTTAAATCTTATCTGTCATCAATGACTTTTTAGCATGAAATTTTAC